CTTTGAATTGTCGTTGCAAGAGTCTAGTACAGTATATGCAGTCATACAGTATATACAGTTTCAGTAAATATTTTTATAAACATATATTTATTTGAGATAAAAAGTCAGCGATAGAGAAGCCCGACCCGAACGTAATGATTGACATTTCGGGCCCGGGTCGGGTCGTGCTCGGGCTTCAGATTTTAGCTCTAACCGGTTCTAATATTTTTCCCGGTCTATATACTCTGGGAACCACTGGGTAGGTCCTTACTTATCAGTGAATGATTGTACAGAGCTTTGTTCGGGGCGGAAATCAATTATATTCATGATAGCGCAACTAGAAAATTATGATGCTCTCGCAGGGGCGTAGCACGAATTTTCAAAGGGGGGTTCTGAAATTTCTAATTGTCAAGTTGGACCGTAACAGCTAGCAGGTCCGCGTCTTTAGGAAAATGGTTTCAAGATACGAAAAATTGCTATGTATGATACAGATAAATGTTTTTATTTTACTTTTAAAAAAATTCCTTCCCGCAAGTCGATGATAGGTTGGCCACCCTTGGCCTATATACCTACACTTAACCATCAGATAAACGACACTAACTAAGTACGGAAGTGGGTTGACTGAAAGCACTAATGGCTCTTCATGTCTATATCACTAAATCGCCTCATTTTCTCGGAGTTATAACTGCGATATTTTGTAAAAGGCCCCGCTACTCCTAATGCGAAAATGTAAGATTTGACAAAAACACTCTCGCTACGTTTTAAAATAACAAATTAGTAATTATGCAGTTCGGGTTCGGAATGATTTAAAAATTAGAATTTTCAGTACAATCTGCATAGCCACAACCCTAACTAGATAATAACTTTTATTTTGAGCGTCGACAGGGATGTTTTTTGTCGGGGGTTTGGTACAAAAGATTCTATAATTGTTTGAAGAACCTTGAAATAAAGACATAACTATCGTATGGTAACCGTACATTTGAACCCATGTACATTTGAACCCATGCGTATATCCACGGGTTCAATCTATATGCGGGTGCTAAAACCCATGGGTTAGGGTTAGTATGGGTTTAACTATCCGTGAAACAAAAAAAATTCCATAGGTGCAATAGCATACAGGTGCAATTGTCATGGGTTCAAATGTACGTGGGTTCAAATGTAATGGAACCCTATCGTATTATTGTACCATCGCTAATTTTCGTATCCTTTTTTATTTTGTTTATATTTATCTTAGGTTATGATCATTTAGAAGGTATGCCAAACCTAACTTATTCTCATCTCCTAAGACCTAAGTTATAAAGAATGAATAAAAACAGACCGGAAATTATTGGTTGGCCAATAACAGGCTAGAACCTCTATGCAAACATTGACTTCATCTATACGTACCGCCCGTGGGGGTACCCCCCCCCCCCCCATATTTGGCCCCGCAAAATTTTAGGCTGGCTAGTGGCTACTGGCTACGCTCATGCGACTAATTAGCTGCAAAGGTAATTTTCGAATTGGCTTAAATCTCTCTGCGCATCCTGCAAATGCTTCGAATGGTGATGAAAACTTGCGCAATTTCATTAGCACCTCTTGCTATCTAACCCCACACCGGCCTGGCCTATTATTTCGATGGGAAATTAAATCAACTTGTCGGCTTTTCTCTCCCCATAAATAAATATAAAATCATATTCTATTCTAGAAAATTAAATATGTCTACCGGCAATGCCCGTATGTACATATACAGCAAGTAGAGAGCTAATACACATTATTTCAAGTGCATGAAGCGTACAAACATCGATTATTTTCAAACCACTACAGAAAAAACCAACAATAATATATCATGCTTTCTGTCAGCGCCTCGCCTTTCAATGATTAAACCACACTAAAGCATCCGTTATTCAGAAACCCGTTTTACAATGTTTTGGTTTTACTACGCGCCAACTAGACAAATAAGATGGATAAAACTGAAATGTATGGTCCTAGTATGATCTGTATATGAGGACACTCATTTTTATACCTCCACGTATGGCCCAATCGTTTTTATCAAAATCAATTACCATTTCAAAACACAATTCTTTCGGTCAATATTGTACTATTAACTCTCTTTGTAACGTCATAATATCCCTATAGTTACGTCACAAGAAGTATTGTTTACTGATGAAACGTCACAATACGGGTTAATCCTAATGTTGATTTTGGCGTGTGTTCGCGCACAATGAAACCTATTATCGTTGCGCGAAATGGCCGTATTGCCTATAACCATAAATTTAAAATTTTTTATCGCATATCGGTCGTTAAATTTTCAAAACATTTGTCAATAGAGTCTCCGATTCTTCGTTTCTATAACAACGGAAAGAATAACTGACCAGTGTGGACATAACTTTGACGAAACAATTGTTTCTGTGCTAACATAACAATAGGAATGATTAAAATTATCATTGATCAAGAATAGCCAATCATAATTATTTTATATAAATAAACAATATGATACACTTTTGAGATTCAATAGGAAATAACTGTATTTTAAACTGTTATTTCGTAGTTGACCGGCTACTTCCCCCACCATCCAATTTCGTGCATTTGAAAAAAATTAACTTCTCAGCAATTCTAATTAAATTATGGTACTCCCGTAGTATGTGTACCAGGCTAGGGGCAGGCCATAATTTTATTCCGATTTTCCTTATTTTATTTAGGTTTCGGTCCCTTTACACTACTTTATGGGAAGTAAGCGAAAAAAAATTAGTTATCTCTATATTGGTACACAGACTTCTGGAAATTATTACGAGGCAAGATTTTTTAACGAGAATTAGTTTTAAGCTAGGACACATACTCATTTATAAGCAATTCGCGGGTGATCTCTAGAATTCCAATAACTACTGATACGCTTTAGAAATATGGTGGTGTCAGAATTCCGCGGAAGAAAGAGTTTACGAAGGATTAGTCGATGTTGTAGCTCTCCGTATGATGAGTATACCCGCCTGCGTTCGCTCGTAAAAGGTTAGTCTTGAGAAAGTGGGAGTGTGGGAATACTTGATAAAAACCGTGCTGACAGTTTTTTAAACACAAACATTTTAATTTCTCTCAAAATTAACATCATCCCACTGACCTTCTGTGCACAAACGTCAGCGTACTAGTAAAATCAGACATGTAAACAAAATTGGAAACAGCTTATAGGTCAATGGTTCTCAAACTTCATGATCTGCGGCCACAATTCGTAAAACAACCCTAGCGCCTGCTCATTAAAAATCTAGATTCGCTTCTAACGCGTTTGCATCAGTTATTTCAGTTTAATAATGAAAAAGTTCCATACAAGATAATAAAGATACTATAGTCAGAGAAATAAACAAATTACAGTGAATTTTTAATTAAATTTATGTATTCATAGTGAATGGTACCTAGGGAAGCCCCTTACGGCACCCAGAGAATCGCTTACATGGCCTAGTTTAGGAAACGCTGCTCTAATTCAACCCTCACATTTTAGCCAAAACATCTTACTATCCTAACAATATCAAAGAATGGGTATCCCGTTAAGGCATAGTTGACATTTTCCATACTCGCTTTGAGCTTGATTGCCATTTCAACGGTATACCATACCAATGGGCCATTCTCGATTTGTACATGAGAACTCATATATACGAATGGACCTGTTGTTTATCACTTATTTTCAACAACTTCATTCGAGTACACTTCAAAGGTTCAAGCCTGCGATCTATTGTGTGGTTTTGTCATTTATGGAAAAATAATAAACGATTTAACGAGGATTTGGAAACATTCCAGGGAAAGGTGAACAAAAGGATGAAGGAGATTGTGAGAGTCGTCGGACGATAAAAGATGAGTCATGTTTTCGGTAACAATGGTAACAGAAGTGATGAGTAATGTACATTCTGAGCTCGACTAAAATTAACATAGTGATTTTAATCTAGTTACCAAATTTTTTCAATCATAATATGGGGAGTTTTAGGCGTTTTACACTTCGAAAAAGACTCTATACAAGTTAGCGGTAATATGTAATACCAACTTTTGATAATATAGGCTATAGGGTGTCCATAAAGTCTTACCTTTTTTTTCAAATAGCAAAGGGAATTTATATATTGTTTTAGCCCCCACAGATGTATTAAAAGAAGTAAAAATGCTTAAACTGTTACTGATTGAAAAACAACAAACCTGGTTAAGATATATTGAGAACTGATTTCATAACAAAATTGAAATCGTAAAAAGACTTTATGGACACCCTGTATATCGCTTACCCGATTTGACCCATCCAGAATCGTTCGAAGCTCTGGATTACAATTTTGATTATGGGATTTGATCCCTCACGCTATAATGCTTATTCTATATAATGTTAAATTCCTAAATTTTGAATAATCCTAGTTCTGTCGTAGATAACCCGCCAGGAAATATAAATTAGATAGCAGGTCATGTACGTATGTCTTGGGGTTAGGTCATAGAGTTCCGGGACTGTAATAAAGCTGGATGTACAATATGCGAACAAAATTAGTTACCTTCATAATGGTACACATACTTCTGGAACGCCGTTTTTTTGCAGTGGTGTATTGGGGGTGTGTCACCGTGTGCTTGAAAGACTAAAGCAATTTCCTTATTCCGGATTGTTGCACAAAATAACGCATCACATTTTAGATTTAAAATTGGTCCCTGCCATATCTTTCTGGCGATAAAGAACCTGCTAATCTGTGGACCAACCTTGATCATAGAATATTACCTGCAAAGTTATGTCTGTGGTAGTCATAGGTTTAATCTTTAATGACCTTGCGCTGGAAAGAGTAATGCAACTTCCGTGTTTCGGGTTTTTACACAAAATAATGTGCATCACGCATATTGAAATTAATAATATTTAAAATAGTTTGGCCAAAGATGATTCACCTGGTTAATTGTGGCCCAATCTTGGTTGTATATGAATTAATTATAATAAAAAACTAAGTTATAAAAAAAATGAAAACGTTCAAGCTATTAATCATAGTGCATGCAATCAATCTGCCATTTGAGCATTTTGAAAGCGAAGATTGGGATACGTCGAAGCCTAAAATGTTTTCATCAACCTTTATTTGGCTTGTCTGCTTGGGAGGCGTATTTGCAAGTGAGAATTTATTTTTAATATTATATTTTGATTCTTGTTGTGTTGCACACCCCTGATATAAATAAATTTGTTGACCAAAAATTTAAAATGACGTGATACAAACTCAGGCCGACTACGTCATTTGAAGCATAACATACCAAGATTTGTAATTTAACTTAAAAATCCTATACAAAAAAGAATATTTACGGACCCTACTTTTTGACATTCATGCCTTAACGGGAATCCTGCTGTTCGCAAACATGAGTAAGTCCCATTTATGCACATTAATCCAAGTTCATTAAAGAAGACTCATCTATCAGCAAATTTACGTGCGACCACAGAAGTGACATGAGATTCTGAAACCACAGAGAATTATCGTGAAGCATCACGCTCTAGTTATTGCATGTCGTTAGTACAGTTTAATGGGATGGGTGCAATTGCTCCCACCTGTTCATCTATCAGGGGTTCTGTTTGGGCCATTGCAACTCTCATATTATTTCTCATTACCATTCTATTTCGGAATACTGTTCCAATGTCGAGTAGCATGTCAGAGATGGGAGCACCAGAATTTTTTTGTGTAATTCATGATTTACTTCTTGCAGAAAACCGTGTCTTTTTCACAAGTAAATACTATAACTTTTTTTCAGTACTGTCCCTTATGAAAACCATCACAGCAGCGCTTCTTTGTCGGTGTCAAGTTGCTTCGCGCCCCCCCCCCCCCCCCCCCCCCCCAAAAAAAAATCGCTTGGCGGACCCCTGAGTGACCGCGGGACCTACTTTGAGACGCCCCAATGCTCTAGAAAGACTTTATTTAACTTTGGATCATTGAGAGTTTGAAATATATTTCACAGTCGATATCTCCATGAACATTCAACTCGGATCTAAGTCAGTCAGTGATTCCTGTGACGAGCAAGCTACAATTACGGTGAGTCACGTCTCGAACGTTTGATCATTTTATTGTTAACCCTTTTCAAAAGCTAAATTCTGTTTCATTTCATTTTGTTCAACAGGCATCAAGTGAGGAAGGTAAGTAACTGGTTAATTGTGACGTCTGAGAGAATATGGTATAGTAATAAACTAATGGATATAATAGATCGTCGCTCCAGAAGTATGTGTACCAATATGGAGGTAACTAATTTTGTTCGCCTATTTTACATCAAGTTGTGTGAAGGGACTGAAACCCTCACTTGGCTAACACAGACAGTCCCCGAACTCAAAATAGAACTAAAATAGGAAAAATCGGAATAAAATTATGGCCTAACCCTAACCTGGTACACACACTACGGGACTAACAATATACCAGTAGCTCACGACCTTTTTTCTTAAATTTCTCCGCCTATTTTGGATCGCTTTATTCTTTTCTTACTATGCATAAAATTTACATTATTTGTTGAATCTTTTCACCGATCCTTAGCTACTGTAATGCACAAATCGCGCTCCGGCATTTTACTTATCGAAGTATGTAAGTATGTTGATAGGTATTTGTCTATCAGAATTTAAATTTCATATGCGGAAGCACTCTTGGTATATTTAGTCTGCGTAGCATCTCTCCGAACAAAGATTTAGGCAATTGGCCACTTATAGCTGGCTACTGAGTCTCAATGCGGAGTCTCGTCTTTTTATTTCAGAGCTGAGAGACAAACTGACGAAAAAACTTGAATCAGTTTTGATGCAAAATCCAGATGCCGAAATCACCATCTCAACTCAGATCAATGTTAACGGCCAAATTCACTCAACCAAAATCACCAATTCCGACATAACTTCTACAACTGGTGGCGCCATCGACATCAGCACGGAAAATGTAGCAACTACAGTTGCTTTGCTAACCACTGGTGACGTCATTGCCCACACAATGGGTGACGTAATTACTGAATTTGACACCAGATCCGTGACCTCTATAGCGCCATCTACATTTGAGTCTACGACACCATTGAAAGATCAGAGCACAGGTAATGAATACTGAAATTTTTTTATTCCGTCAACTTAGAGATGTAAAAATGTGGAGGAGTTTTACGCGACTATAACTCTAAACCATAATTTTCCGAACTTTTAAGATTGCGACCCCTTTCAATATACTAAAATTCTTCGCGACGCCTTAGGTTGACGATTCAAATCGGCATTGGTATGCAAGCACGCCTCTTCTCTGAACCTACCGGTATATATTCTCTCGAAATCGTGAGATTTATGTTTTTCACTAATTTTAATAATTGTGTTCCGAATCAAAAGTCTAAAAAAGTAGAATAGATATAGTACTTTGTGTGAAATTGGTGTAGTCTTTGCGACCGCGAAAATCCGTTGCGAAGGTCGTGGTCGCGACCCTTGCTCGAAACTACCTGAAAGCCGGATCCGACTGCCGATGTAATGCTTTTTCGAAATAACCAAATTTATTTTTTCCGATCCCAAATCGTAAAAGTGCTAATTTGAATAAAAACTTTTTTATATCTCCGACTGCAGTACTAACAAAAAGAAAACTTTAAAATTGCTTAAAAATATTCCACAAGTTTTCGGGCGTTACAAAATGATATTTTCAATGTATTGTATAGGAATCATTTATCTACCACCTTGAAAAATAATCATTGACCGTATATGGTTTTCACAAATGCCACGATTACTTTACATCTAATACATGAAACCGTGATAAACAGACAAACAATTGAAACAAACATAATTCTATCGTAGAGACCGAGATGATAACTGAAGAGCAAAAGGAAACTACTAGCGATGTTGTGACAGATTCGACCATGGCGGAGGCAACAACCGAGGATGCCACAACTGAACCAAGTAATTTCATTTTGTATTTGGTAGACAGACATGCAGACAGGGAGATTAGTAGACAAGCACAGAGAGGCAAACAAAGCCATAATAAATTTCACTTGATAATTATTTTTGGCTCGGCCCAAAGACAACATTTTGTTGATAAATCTTGCGTCGTCTTATATTACTATTGCGCCTGGACTTGAACAATAAAATTAGTTGATTTGGGGAAGCAATACGTCAGAATCTCTCCGCGAAATTCCGGGATTTCTAAACGAAAATTCTCGGCATGAGAATTTAAAACAACTAAAATGCAATTGTATCAAACTAACGCTAAGTTGATTTAATACAAACCATATATGTTTTCCGCTAGGTTTATCTATGCAATATTAATGTTGCCGGGTAAATGAGGGCCAGGAGTTGTATCGTTTGAAATTAGGCAACCCCTTGGCTAAATATAAACCAGAAATTAATTTTTTTTAATAAATATTATGCGGTGGTATACTACTATGGACTCAACCATTAAAGTTGGATGGTTTAGAGCAGTGATTCCGAAAGTGGGCGATATCGCCCCCAGGTGGGCGAAAACGATACAGAGGGGGGCGAAAAAGTTGAAGGGGGTGATAGGGGGGCGATTTCGCGAAACCTGTTTTTAGTCGGCGCATGGTGCACTTGATTACTGTATTCTGCGTGCTTTCGTACGTTTGAATCACGTGGGCGAATATCAGACGCGAAAGGATTGCTGGACTCGCTGAAATTTCGGTGTTTATTTTAAGAGTGGTTTCGCGAGTTGTTGCCTAGAAAATAAAGTATTTGTTTCAAACTATCATTCTAATTCATACCATTCAACAATCTGTTTTTTAAAAGTACCGGTAAAAAATTTTTGTCCAGTCTTTCAACGCTATTTCTAAACTAATTTTTGATTACTGTGATTAAACTGAAACTCCTAGGACAGAGGTGACAAACCTGCGGCCCGCGGGCCGCATGCGGCCCGCCAAGGACTTTCGTGCGGCCCACGAAGCATTCAGACAATTCAGTGTATGTTTGGCGTAAAGTAACAAACCTTCAAGAACTGTACAGAGAGAACGGGATCGCAAGTGTTACCGTATTCATATTAGCCTACTGGCAACAACACTATTTCCAACACATTTTTTTGGATCATCGATACTTCTAACAATAGATCAAAATGACCAATGTCATATCATAGTTACGCTCTCTTATCGGCAAACGCATACGGTTTAATAGAGAAGGAGTAATCTCACTTTATGAAATGTGATATTTTTGTGCACGATACACGTGATATTTGAAAGTAATAAAAAGTTTATAACTTCTGCTCAATGAATAAAACAATGGTAGATCTCGAAAAAATGCCTACGTTTTAATAATCAGTTAATCGTGATTAGAGGGATTCGTTTACAATTTTTGTATTCATAGGCCTGCGAAATACGGATCTTTTGTACAAAGCCTCCATCGCTAATGCAAAATGTGAAAAAAAAAACAAGTTCTGAAATAACAAATTAGTAACTATCCAGTTGCGGTTCGGGTTAGGAATGATTTGAGGTTTTGAATTTCCGACGCAATCTGGATTCTTAACCCCCACCCACCCTAAAAATGTAATTGAAATATTTATAATTTACATTTAATGTTGAGCGGAGGCTTTTTTTTATAAAGAATCTTTATACAAAGGATCCCGAAATACTTTCTGAGGCATTATCAACCAGAATTTTGCATATTAACGCGACACAAAATGTCATGAAGAATAATTCGATAATGCGTAGGTTGGTTGATATTACCATTGGGGGAGAGGGTAAATTGTAACGAATCCTAAATTTTTTATGTCACTGTCGACGCAATTAGGCAGGCCACTCGTGTAAAGAGCCAACTTTTTCGACAATTAATGTTTTTTACTGGTATGGTATGTTGTCGGTTAGCGATTTTGCAGTTGTGCAAAGTATTTCATTGGCGACCATTGGAGTCTATTTATAATTCATTATAAATTAAATATATATATAAATTTATTATGCGGCTGCGCCCACAAATTGAAAACATTACTATGATAAAATATCACATCACATCCATGGCCATAAAAAGGGTTTCCAACTGCCCGATTATACTTAGTTTTGATTCATATTTTTGCGATGTTGCGAATTAGTTTTACAATTATGATGTCCTTGCATCACTGACTGTCTCTATCACAAGCTATTTATATCAACGTCTGAGAAATCCGTAGATCTGCTATAAAATATCAAAGACTACAATTTATTTCAATCAGTACATTAAAAATTGATTTTACATTACGCAGGTAGTAGGCTCTAAACTTTCGTGTTGAAAATGATGTGGTATTCGAAAGGAAATTCGGATCTCGAACATCCGAGCCGAGCGTTTATATTGCATTATAGAATTGAATAACATCAGCTGTATGGATGCCGTTGTTCGTTTAGTAGATGAAAAACAACAGGTATCATATGGTAGTACGACTAAAAATTGTGCGGCCCGCTCACTCAGCGGTGACTGATAAAGTGGCCCGCGGCAGCAAATGGGTTCGTCACCCCTGTCCTAGGAGGACAAAGTGTTCATTGACTTAATTTATTTAAATTTCTGAAAAACAACTAAAAACTAACGAATATAATTCAAAATCGCGAATATGTGGTAATGTTTACGACTACGCCTAAAAGTCTGTTTGAGTGAGGAATGTGTCTGAGCGACTGCGAAAGGGGGCATTGTTACATTTATATTTGCATCTTGCTGATTGGCCAAGTACTTTCAAGCCAAGTCTTTGCCAGGGGAAACATCCGAACGGCGGTTTTAACGATGAATTAATTTTATTTATCATCTACGCTCGAGGAGTATTCGGATATATTGCAATGCAATAAGGAAATCAAATTCATATTCTATTCGAGAGATTCATCCCTGCTTAATTTTCGTAAGAATGTATCTTCTCAAAGAAAATCTTTATCAAAATTTCACAAACCATGTAAAAATATTCACTTCGATGTTTGAAAGTAGGCTACATGTGTCACATTAAATGGTATTGTAATAATTTTTTAATAAGACGACTGAGTTGAGTTCACGAATTGTCGGAGTTTTTAACGTTCAAAAAATATATGCGATCCGCAAAAGAATAGCAATCATGACTTTGTCCCGCGAGCGACGTAAAATTTGCCGACCCCTGAGCCATCCGAGTCCACGAATCCAAAACAAATGGCTGAATAATGCTATGGACTCTGGTGATCGGACTGGAGGACGTGGTAGGATGAGGCATGGGGGATGAATTTTACCGCCGAAGACTCTATATATATCATGTATTTTGGTGAAGGTCGTCAGGATGTAGGGATGATTGACATGTACCTAAATCATTATTATAAGTTTTGAAAAATTAATTTTGTTTTCATTATTTTAATGTGAAACGGGGTGGATTTAGGGAGTTAAATGCTATAAGGCAAGAGTACACGGCGATTTTTGAGGAGGTAGAACCCTGGATTCTTTCATATCCGACCTCTGATATGGTGAAAAGGGGGTTTTCAGCCGCGAAACTATTGCTATCAAAACAACTAAATTGCCTTTTCATCAGTAAACGGGGTAATTTTAGATGTAATAAAAAACTCGCTGAAGAATACCAAGCACATCCATCTCATTAAAAAACACTATAAACTATGTTTTGTCTTCTTATTTGGTCTGTAATATATTCGTTTCAGACTTTCAACTTTTTTTTGCAGTGCCGGGGGGCGATGAAGTTGTATAAACTAGTGTAGGGGGGCGATGGTACAAAAAGTTTGGGAACCACTGGTTTAGAGTAGCACTAAGTCAAAATTCTCCGCGACAAGTCACGGATTTCTGAGCGAAAATTCACAACAAAATTTTTTTGAAATTTTACGTGCTTCATACTGGAACACCGTTAATTTTTAATGTATTATTATATCGACCCAAGCTTCAAATGTGACTGACTATGTCCAAGTCAGGACGCTCTCAATTTGGCAACCCTCAGCTAGTTCTGAACTCAATACTATACAACGGAATGTTTCACACTATTCCCTCCCATTAAGAGCAACCTATATAATACCTATACCTCTAAATATTTTAATTTTCAGATATCTGCGACATTACTTACAGATCGAAACGATTTTACATCGTGATGAGAAGCAGCGTCTCGTTTGAATATGGGAAATCTCTATGTGGAGACAAACTGGCCAATATTTATACCCTCGACCACTTCAAACAGTTGACAAATTGTTTACGCTTAAAGATTCCTAGTGAGCGGGCATGGGTCAAAGTTTGGACTGGTCTCACCTATAAGGTAAGTGAAACATACTCTTATGCGATATGTTCCAACCAAAGCTAAAAAATAAAGCCGAGGAAAAGATATAATATTATATATGCTTACAGTTTTGCTCCTCGTTTTTTTCATCAATTTGGAGTTCTTCCAATGTCTCGTCAATAGATATTGATTAACTGGTGGAGTCCCCGAAGTAACCCGAGAAACCATAGAACGGAACGGCAGCATTGTTAAATTAACTTTGAAATGATAATATTCTGATCAGACATGTCTCAAATTTTTGTTATTGATCTTATGGCATGCAACATCAAACTAGCTGCCTAGGTATTGAAAGCCATAGGCACATACATATCAAATTGGACTCAGGTATAGACTTTTCAACGCAAAGGGATTGAAATTACCGTACTTGCACGTGCCAATTAAAAACTCGTTTCGCGGGCTACACATCATTTAAAATGGGCATTTTTCCGCGGGCCGCACAACTTTTTCTTCTGGGCTACAATTGGCCCGCGGGCCGCAGGTTGCACACCCCTCCTGATTTAAGACACTTGCAAAGTAAGAATGATACTTATTGATATGACTAGTGTCTGTGTTACAAAGATAAAACTTCATATAGCCTTCAGGAAGCCGGTGGTTGTTACAACCGTTGAATACGTAATTTAATTTAACAGGATGACACACTTCAGTTATCATCTGGTCAACGTATAGATCTATCGAAAGAAGTGTGGCGACCTGGTTATCCAGAGCGTTTGTCCAACTATGTTTTGTCCACAAATGTTGCGGTTAAGGTCAAAAATGATACAATTTCGCACGATCAAGGGATTTACAATTGTCTTCGCTGTAACAAATTACACGGCGCCATCTGTGAAAAAGAAATGAACTGAACTTTGGATTTATCAATCTCCAAACTTGTGCTCATAAATTGTAAATAATTGTCCAACTTTTCTGTTACTCTTTGGCAGTGGTTGACAGTCACATACTCTGGTATGCACTAAACTTGATTTTACTTACTGTACTGTTTTTGTTGGTCGGCTGCGAACTATAATTAAAGCAAGTATTCAAAGGAGAGCCTAATTCAAACTTATCTCAATTGACGACCCTTGTATTCAAAAATTAATCCTGGCACGACTTCATTGGAAATAAACTTTGTATAAACACTGTATTTACTTTATTTATTACCTGCAGTCAAAAAATATTACGAGTTTTTCGAAATAAATGTTTGAATATTAGTGAATCGATAATTGTACTTTCAAAAAATGCTCATGTTTAATTTTTGATTTCATTTCTCAACGTCACATATTCGAAGAACATGTCATTTTCAAATCTGCATGGTTACCCAAAAAGAACAGATCCCATAAAATTCTTTTATGAAAATGAAGAAAATTTATGTAACACTTAAATTTGTGTTTCTGTATGATTGTACCTAAACGTTTCAGAAATTTAGTACGATTTGCACAAAATTTATGTGCTGTCTACTAGGATATATTCCTTCCGAATCACTTGGGTTCTGTTTTTTGTTACCCCATCCGAACTATAGTTAGGTTCTTTTCAAGGGTGTGTAATACGTCAGAGCCCATGCATCTGAAACGATAAATTTGTTAGCGTTTGCAATCTGGGCAGATAACACCACGAAAGACTGTAATTCGCAATATAACCCAACCCCTGGCTCTCCCCTTCCCAGAGAATAGTAATTCTATACTTAGTGACCTCTTATCAATCTACGATCGGACACTTCTCTTGTTCGGTATTTATTCACTCAGGAACCATTATTTACCCAATAAATAATAATTAATCTAATTGGGTTATCTGGTTGGCTAAAGATATAATCTTGCTGTTTATTATTGATTATATGCAGTTTTCGACATTAGAAATGGTTTTACCCTGATTCAGATATTACTATAAAAAACGTATAACTATGGCCAATCCGAGAGGATTTGTTTCCAAATACTTCAACTAGTTGATATACCGTGTTTTTATTACAACAATATGGAAGTATCCCAACAAAAATGACCTGAATCCAACAACGAATACTAACGTCTGCCTCGATAGTTCAGTCTGGAGAGCGTCAGACTGAAGATCTGAAGGTCCCTGGTTCAATCCCGGGTCGAGGCATTATTTACTTTTAAACTATAAAGACTACAGTAATTGTTCTTGTGCCTACTTGAGGCAAATAGAAAAAAAAACTGAGAGAAAGTCCAATCAACGAACTTGCGTGATTTCCAAACCAGGGGTCGCGACCCCAAATTGGGTCGAAGTGATAAGTAGGTAGGGTCGCAAACAGTTCATGGGGTCGGTGGGGTCGCTGAGGTATGGTTGAGGCTGGATGTACAAAACATCTAAGATTTGACAAACCATGTTAAATTTAGCAGTTTGTACCATGGCTTACTGTAAAACAGGCCCATAAGCATCGCTCTATGCTTATGCTAGAGAAAATGTAGGTGCTTATTGTGACATCACTGTTTGGTTTTAGCCTATTTTACTTAATACCACCACATGACAAAACTCAAAAGTCCAGTGAAATAAGCTCTAAAGTTTCATGAAAAAATATATATATTGATCTGGGGTCGCACTGGACACTTGAAAGTTGTCTTTGGTGTCGTCCTGAAAAATGCATTTCAATATTTAATGTATGCAATTTTCCATCGATTTCGATTTCCTATTATGTTTCCCTTAGTTTAATATAATTAGTCCAAAGTCTTTTATCTCCTAGCCTAGACCTAGATGATAATTCCATACTTACTAACTCTTACTAATTTATGATTGGACACCTCTATTGTTAACTAGTTTCCCATCAAACTTTTACAATGCAGAATATATAGTAATAATCTTAGTTGATCTGTATAACAATCTATTGCCTTGATTTTATTCAATTTGTGAAGGCCAAGTATACTATCCTTATTTATGCTTTACTTATTTTACAGTTTTTGTGACTCAACCCTTTACTTTGTCAATGTATATTAAACGTTTGAGTCACAGTATGATCTGAAAACTCTCATTCTATGGAAACTTAGTATCATAAACCGACTGTAAAATAATGTGATTAATTAATTCTTAATCTTTTCTATTCCAGGTGATAACCCTATACTTAGCGAGCGATTGGACACTTCTCCCGTTAACTAATTTCCTATGCATACTTTTACAATGCATAATGCAGTAGTGATATGTATTGCCGTGATTTATGAAGTCCCTTTCTAAGTTTAGAAAATTATAAAAAAAAAAATTTGGCTTTCAGCATTTACGTATCTTATTATATGATTTCCCTTATTTTACAGTTTTTGTGACTCAACTTCGCCTGGCTTTTGCTTTGTCAATGTATATTAAACGTTAATTAAACGAGTCACAGTATAGATTGAAAGATTTCATTCTATTGAAAACTACACGTGTTTAATATACGTGCCTATTATATGCTTCCTTTTATTATACAGACATTATGACTCAACTCTTTGCTTTGCAATGTATATTAAACGTTCGAGTCACAGTATCGTCTGAAAACTGAAAAGTCTGAAAACATACCGGCTGTAAAATTAACATGCTGACGCAAAGCTTTTTTCTCTTCCAGGTGATAATCCTATACTTAGTGATCTATCACCAATCTATGATTAGACATCTCCCATTTTAACTAATTTCTCATGCAAACTTTTACAATACAAAATATATTAGTAACCATAGTTGATACTGTTTAGCAATCTATACCCTTTATTTAATTTATGAACGCCTATTCTAAGTTTAGAAAAGTATAAATGTTTCTTCTAGTCTCCACTAGTTTTGTGTCCTATTATTTTATGCTTCTCCCATTTTACAGTTTTTACGACTCAACCCTTTTCCTGGCTTTTACTTTGTCAATGTGTATTAAACGTTTGAGACACAGTATAGTCTGAAAGCCTCATTTTGTTGAAAATTACATGTGTTTAAAAATGTACTTCTCGATTTTATTAAAGTTACAAAACGTCTACTATAATTTAACAAAAGTATGTTTGTCACTTATATCCCGATGTATATGGTTGCACATATTTCACAGCCTTCGAAGCCTTCGACTTGGCTTTTGACGTCACAATGTTTGAACGTTTTTGACAATATTGAAGCTTTCATATCATGAAAGCTGCAAAATATAATTCTGATTTTAACTCTGATTTCAGTAAGGTAAACACTGAGAAGTAATTTCAGATGTTTATTAAGATTTTAAATCAAAATATCAGCTTTTTCAGTTTAATTGCTATTTTTTCCGTTTTTTTTTATTAATTTTACCCATCATGCAGGGGACTTGGGATATTTTCGGGGTGATATTACTTGTTTTGTCCCAAAATAATTATTTGTTTAGAATAAATAATATATATATACCGAGTGCATTAATATAGTATGCAGATATTAGACATGCATTGCAGTTTCATACAAATCAGAGAACGGTATTTTCTTCCGCGCGCATTTTTAAAAGCATGTCCTTCTAATAATGGTCGTAATTTAGTGTTAGGCCATAATTTTATTCTGATTTCCTATATTTTAGTTCTTTTACGAGTAAGGTGACTATATGTGTTAGCCAAGTGAATATACCCCTAATAGGTTTCCGTCCCTTCACACAACTTGATGTAAAATAGGCGAACAAAATTAGTTACTTCCATATTGGTACACATACTTCCGGAGCGTGAGAGAGCTGAACATGGCCAAGGAAATCGTGAATTTGAATCCTATAAATATAATAGTGTCAGATAACCATAGAAATCTTATTGAACCAAATTTAGTAAGATAAATTATAAATGCAGGTGCAAATGGCAAAAGCGAACAACGCATGTCAAGAGATCAGTGACCCAATTTTTTGTGTTGCAACTACTAGAAAGCCTATGTTAAATAAAGTTGCAGCCCGCGGTTTCACCAAGTTATTTCTATCTGGCCTTCCTGTATAAGAGGTTGCACACCCCTGACTTATAAGGTAGCAGAAATTTCTAGGGAATTAGCGGCAAAAATGGAGCAACGCAATCTGCTCCAAGCGTTTAAAATGAAAATTAAAAAAAAAAACTTTATGGAAGATACATCTTGAGCAAATACAAATTCCATATTTCAGTGTCAATCTTATCCGCATCAGCGCATATGGTGGGAGCTGACCTTGATGACCGCATGGTCGCATCGATCCCTCCTGTCCATACCAAAACAATTTTATTGCTGTTGCTTATTTGTTTGTGAAAGTATTTTATTTGGGGGACAAAATAATAAATCTCTCACTGTGTTTTAATAAACAAGAGAGCTATGCTCAAATATATGCCCACGTAGCGACACAGTGGCAAATTTTGATGACGACATCGCACACAAAAAATGACTCTTTGGGATGTGTCACTGTGCGTAGGAAAAACGATTTCCTTATTTCGAGTTTTGTGCCAAATAATGCATCGCATTTTAAGATTTGAAATTGGTATCTTCTATACTTTTACCAATGATAAAGAACCTGTTAATCACTGGAGCAATCTTGATCATAGATTATTATCAAGAAAGATCTGATTTGGGTGCGTCATTGGTTTAATGACCTTCCGCTGGAAAGAGTAATGCAACTTCCTCCGGGTTCCCATTTCGGGTTTTTGCTCAAAATAATGTGCATCACGTATTAGAATTAATAACAGTTAAAACAGTTGGGCCACAGATGACTCACCTGTATGCATGCGGCCCAATCTTGATTGTATGTGCCTTCGTTGCATGTGCATGCAATATAATAAAAATCTAAAATTATAACAAAAATGGAAAAAGTTCATGCTATTAGTTATAGTACATGCTCTCATTTTCCCATTTTAGTATTTTGGAAGCGAGGATTGGGATACGTCGAAGCCTGCAATGTTTTCATCAACCTTCATTTGGCTTGTCTGCCTGGGAGGCGCATTTGCAGGTGAAACTTTTTTTTTATATTTTGTTTCATTGATTTTCGTTGAATTTAAGCAAGATTCCGTGTTTCCTCGAAGATAAGACCTATCCTGAATTTTAAAATGATTTTATTTTAAGCCTCACCTTCAAACAAGTCCGTGATCGACTCGATCTAACCCTCAGATGAGCCGTGTGTGAAGGGACTAAAACCTATGGGCAGGGTGTATATTAACTTGGCTAACACAGACAGTCCGGAACTCGTAATAGGACTAAAATAAGGAAAACCGGAATAAAATTATGGCCTAACCCTAACCTGGTACACACACTACGGGAGTAACAATAAATCAGTGTCTCCCGATCTTTTTTCTTAAATTTCTTTGCCTATTTTGAAACGTTATTTATTCGCGGTTTAGGGGCATCTTTCCATCACGGCATTTTATAGAAAACAAGGGATGTGAACTCGAGCTTTTTTTTTAAAAGCATCGTAG